AACCCTAATCTTAGTATTTGCTCAGTAATTCCTGATCCTGATTACCACTGCAGAACGTTTCCTTACCTTTGAGACAAAGAGTGGTGAAACAGTGTTTGTCTGGAAGGTCTTCATCATAGTCTCTGGCGTTACAGCGTTTAAATCCACAGATGATCCAATTGCGGCGTTATTAATCAGACAGTTGAGTCCTTTATTTCCCACCAGGGACTGGACCTCCTCCAGTGCTGAGCTGATACTCTGCTGGTTGTCCACATCTGGAAAAATGACAGTAAAAGTTTACAGTTTAATAATGCGTCTATAAATACTGTGTATCAATGACTATAATTCATACACAATAGTGATCTTTTAGGTAGGGTTAGGGTGTAAAATATGTTAGATGACAGCTGCCTAATCACATGCTTGAGGAGAAAAAGCAGCATGTGCCTTCTCTTAGCGCAGAAAATTAAGAGAATGGTTATTAGAACTGCACATTAACTGACAGACATTAAACTGAGATGAGTAGAAACAGCAGAATAACTCACTATTCATCAAACGATGATCATTAGTTAATTAAAAGTTACTGCAAACTACACAAAGTTGAGAAGTGGAAAGTTAAAGAGGGATTTTTTTTTTAGAGTAAAGGAAAATACAGATACCAAGATATGCGTGCATGTAAAACCTTATAGCTTAAGAATAAAACTGTATATACAGACTCACCTAATTTTACAATATAAACACCTGGGTAGGTTTTGGAGATTTCCTGCAAATCCTACATTAAGAATGAAATTGAGACAAAAATAATTCACAACAATCAAGCAATTAAAAAAAAAAAAAAAGTTTCCATATCACAACCCAGTGAGTGACAGAAAACAGTAGATAAACTTAAAAAAAACATTAGCAAACAGTGAGAGAAGAACAATTATGACAGAGAAAGAAATACACAGACATTTATTTAGAAATCAGCCACACTGTAGTGTTTAGTTGTCTACCGGCTACAAATGTCATGTCTCAAATCCTCACGAGCCTAAACTGTGGATAGTTTATACCAATGGAACACAAAGCAAGAGAATCCATTTTGATCCTATCAAACCTTTTTCCACAATCATCATGACAATAGATTTAAATGTATTAATAATAAACACATACATTTGTGTGATTGTGACATTCAATTACATATGGTTCAGAAAATATCAGTAGTTAACTTCTGAATAATACACTTTTTGTTGAAATGTGTCCAAGGATGGGACTTTCATTGTAAAAGTTTTTCTAGCCTCTGGAAACTTGTGAATAAAGACATGAATGAGAATATCTGGTGTTAATTAGTGTATAATTTAAATAATACACAAGATTATTATAAAGAAATTTACAATAAATGAATGCTAGTTTTATTGACAGGGTAACATTCTTACTGTGTAAGGAGAATATATATATATATATATTTTACCTTTCCCAGGTCAATCTTAAACTACATACATATTCCCATTCAAATCTTTGTGGTTTTTAGGACTGCAATAATAGATCCTTATCGGTCCTACAATTCCTTATCAGTGTACTTCTACTAAAAGTAACACAATGATTGCAAAACTTTAACAAGACAACCTGCTGTTTTGCTGCTCCTCTGACACAACCAGACATGCTGCCGATCCCTGTAGACTCTTCTTGCATCAATTGTGTTAATTTTCAATAATTAGACATTTGATCTTTTAATGCACTACTGTGTGATTTAACCTGTTGCAAGGCATCACGTTTTGTCATCTGTGTTTCAAATCTTACTGTGAAAATTTGCACACAAGTAGACATATAATGTACCAAACACTTAAAATACCTAAGTAAAAATAAAGCAGCTTCCCTTTAATGTCATAATACAGCCCACTTATATAAAGGCTCGTTCGCGTGTGTTCAGATGGTGTTGATGAGCGCAGGAGTTGAGCAGCACATGCTCATGTATTACCGTGGAGGCAGGCGGGTTGCGGGCTGCGGCTATAATGGTAGCAGGTCTGGTGCTGCTTTTAGCCAGCTCTTTCACCAGTTCGAGTCCTATCCCTCTGCTAGCGCCCGTTATCAGGACGGACTTCCACAAACTTGCACTCATGTTCAGGCTCAGTTTCCACAGCTACGTCCTCCCAACAGCCCGCTGTCCTCCCAACAGCCAGCGACAGAACGGCAGCTCAGTATAAACACGCTGGGTTGGCTGGATTGGTGCTGCCTTCAAGGGCGGCTCGAAAATCGGACGATTATAATAAGGTTGACTGTTCGCCTACCAAAAGTTTTGCCGTCCGCATTGGCAATGTCTTTGCATTATTATCTAGATTGAATAGATCCAGTTGGTTTTACTCGCTGAAGGATCTTTCAAGGTTCAGTTCAACTCCTATGATGCAGTTTTCTACTTGCCAAAAAGTGACTACAACCCCCTACATTATAAGTAACATGTTTTTTTGTGCATCAGCATGACTTGATTTCTTTGAACTAATCATGTTAATTGTAATCTAAACCAAGATATTAGACAAACACCTACCGCCTAAACGGTGGGGGGAAAAAACGGATTCTTTACTACGTTGGTCTTCATAATTACCACACTTATGAATGCAGCATACTGCTGTGAGATCAGGCAGAAGTCTAGTTAACGGTAACCCTTCACCAGAACTCCACGACCTTTACAGGCAGAAACCATCCTGATAGCGAACTTCGTAAGACAGGTTACTACAGAGTGAGCAAACAGCTGGTAACATAAAGTTAAGTCTTTGACTTTAAAGTGTACTTAAAACTTACAAACTGATATTGGTTCGATTACTTCAGTGAACCAGCATAGACATTTGGCTAAGTAGCAAACGTTAGCTAACGTATTTAACGTTAATTACATCTTTGCTTATCTGACGTTAAGCTAGCAGCTACATGCTAACACGTTAACTTAAAGTAAACTTGGTTAAGTTAACTTTGTTAAGTTAACTTTAACGTTGTGGGGGAGGGCCTTGAAGACTTGAAGAAAAGAACACTATAGAAACGTTGACATAACATTTGAGGTTAAACGTGGCTAGCAGTTAGCAAATGTCAGTGTCACAGCAGTGTGGAGGTACAGTAGACAGCTGTGTATATCACTGGAATGTCACATAATTCAAAATTGTATTACCCCTTTATAACTGAACCACTACTAATTTGACAATACTAGTGATTCCTTTTATGAAAAATCGAAAACAAAATCTTTAGAAAGAGTCCAGTAAGGAGTCATAGAGCCATATAGTAGGAGTATTCAGAGCAGTGGTTGACAGTGATATTACACAGTACTAGAGGCTGGTCGTCCTGTCGGTTTCTTTAACACACTATAGGATTTCCTCACACCAAGAAAAAAAAGTTACTCATATTGAAGAAATAAAAATGGCCCCAGTAAAGTTTGATCTTAATACCATTTTCATAGAAAGCTGAGCTGATTTTTTGTGTGAAAATTCCAATGAATATATTTATATTTCATATATGTATGATTACAACAGGTGCCTTTCATGTTGGTGGGATGAGTAGCCCTACAGCACAGCTAGAAACACCACAGAGCAAACAGGATTCTGTTGACTCTGGGGGTTCTTCCTCAAAAGAATGCTGCTCTGAGAAAGACAGTAATGTCCACCCTGGCTCTGCTGTGACTGCTGCGTGGACAGGACCGCCACCAGATGTCAGCCTGCCGGGGACGGTTACCCATGCTCACCTGCATACTATCCAACCAGAGATGGTGGACCCTCTAAACATAGGGTGTTATGTTCAGTCATTCACCTAACAATTTTTTGAATTTGAGATTGTGTGAATTAAAAATGTTTTGACTTTTTATGGTTCTTTCTCAGCCATTACTAAAATTACTTTACCGTTTTGGCCCTACTATTGTACGGATTAAAGTTTAAAAATGCTTAAGGAATGCAAACTCTATACATGTTGACAGCTACCTGGACTAATATTGATGAATTGATCGCAGATTCCACTATCCATGTCAGCCCACTCAGTATCAGCTGATTTATCCAAACTTCTTCCTGGAGCCCCAATTCAGCCAATACCAGCTCCTCAATGGGTGAGTTCTCATTCACTTTACAGTTTGCCACTGTGGCATGCTGGAGTCCTTCATCAAATGACAAAATATGACTATATAGTAATAATAATTATATATGTGGTGGTGGTATTAGAAAAGACAGTGTGGCATAGTGGGGCAGGAGCCATGTGATGTGATGAAACAGGATTCTGATTCATGCCTGAACATGTACAAAACTATGGGAAGTGATGTGTTTGAAATGGTAAAGTGACGTGATCCTGTCTTGGTCTCTTCAGCCCTGCACCTGCTCCACCAGACAGCAGTCATCATGGCTCAGTTTCTGCTTCCTGGTTTACTGATGAACCCATTCTCTACAGCATGGTGCTGGTTAGTCCAAACACGCTGGATCAAATAAACAGCCTCATGGACTGACATAGAATTCATGTGTTACTATATGTGCATATGTGTGTGTGAATTTGCCTAGTGTGTTTTCAGAGTGACCAGCCCAACCCTATAGTTGTGGACCAGCAGTTTCAGGAGGGACAGCCAGAAGCCACATCTCACATCAGTCAACCTGTAAGTTCTGCCCAGTCCATTGCATGAAAAAGAATAAGTTTTGTTCTTTTTCCCTTTATAGTGTTTCTATAGGAAAATACAGTTCATGCCTGTCTCCTAGTATCTAAACATGAAAAAATGTAAGGGAACCTAGCCCCAGTATGCATGCATGGTAAAAGAGAAAAATAATCCTAAACATTAGACTTTACAGTGGAGTTTGTAAATTTCAGAAAAAACTTTCAGATGCTGGTCACTGATGAGCAAAACATGTCACATAAGCCTCATTGTCCCACAGTAACTACCTATGTACCCAAATAAGTTAAAAACAAACAAAAAATTACACACACACACACACACACACACACACACACACACACACACACACACACACAGTTGCAAGAAAAAGTATGTGAACCCTTTGGGATTACTTTGATTTCGGCATAAATTGGTCATAAAATGTGTTCCGATCTTCATCTAAGTCACAACAATAGACAGTCTGCTTAAACTAATACTGCACAAAAATATTATGTGTTTTCATGTTTTTATTGAACACAACATGTAAGCATTTACAGTGCAGGGTGGGAACAGTATGTGAACCTCTATGCTAATGACTTCTCCAAGAGCTAACTGGAGCCAGGAGTCAGCAAACCTGCAGTCCAATCAATGTGATGAGATTGGATGTGTTGGTTAAAGCTATCCTGCCCTGTAAAAAAACACACACCAGTTTTGAGTTTGCTGTTCTCAAGAAGTATTGCCTGATGTGAACCATGCCTCACACAAAAGAAGACCTACGATCAAGAATTGTTGACTTGCATGAAGCTGGAAAGGGTTGCAAAAGTATCTCTAAAAGCCTTGATGTTCATGTGTCCATAGTAAGACAGACTGTCTACAAATAGAGAAAGTTCAGCACTGTTGCTACTCTCCCTAGACGTGGTCGTCCTGTAACGGTGACTGCAAGAGCACAGCACAGAATGCTGAATGAGGTGAAGAAGAATCCTGGAGTGTCAGCTAAAGACTTACAGAAATCTCTGACACATGCTAACATTTTTGTTGACCAATCTACAATAAGTAAAACATTAATCAAGAATGGAGTTCATGGGAGGACGCCACAGAGGAAGCCACTGCTGTCCACAGTGTTACCGGTTTCACACACCAACATTGTCCTAAAATATTACGCAATGTGTTACATTAAACTCCAGCATTACATCAGAATTAAAAGCTGCACCTTGAACAGATATTGGGTAAATGCCAGTACATTGTGCTGATAAAACCTCCTTCACTTTGAGTATAAAATGCAGGACTTTTTTTTCGTCAGTATTGTCTCTAGGGATGGGTATTGAGCCGTGGTATTAAACAAGCCCGAGGATGAAATGTTTAAATAACGTATTGATAAGCTCTGACGTTAATGGTTGTGCTAACGGTAATTTAGAAAGTACAAACATTGTGTTGCAATTCTATCTCATCACTGTAAGACACGTGTCTGTGATGCACTTTTGCTTTCTAAATCCTAAACGGTGTTCTATCTGACAGAACACCAGGTGTGTGCGGAGCGGAGCAGCTCTGCCACTCACCTGCAGCAACACACAGGTGACCAACGTCCAACAGTCTGATTTAATTCTGTGCAGTTGTTGCAGAAAATGTTAGTTCCCAAAAGAGTAACATATCATTTGAATGTAAGAGCCGAAACGCGATAAATCTGTTGAAACATTCAGTAAAAGCTCATCACATACAGGCGAAGAAATGCACAGTTTGACCGCCACTGAACAAAAATATAAACGCGACACTTTTGTTTTTGCTCCCACTGTTCTGAACTCAAAGATGTGAGACTTTTTCTATATACACAAAAGGCCTATTTGTCTCAAATATTGTTCACATATTTATCTAAATCTGTGATGGTGAGCACTTTTCCTTTGCCGAGATAATCCATCTACCTCACAGGTGTGGCATATCAAGATGCTGATTAGACAGCATGATTATTGCACAGGTGTGTCTTAGACTGGCCACAATAAAAAGCCACTGTAAAATGTGCAGTTTTATCACACAGCACAGTGCCACAGATGTCACAAGTTTTGAGGGAGCGTGCAATTGGTATGCCGACTGCAGCAATGTCCACCAGAGCTGTTGCCCATGAATTGAATGGTTATTTCTTTACCATAAGCCATCTCCAAAGACGTTTCAGAGAATTTGGCAGTACATCCAACCGACCTCACAGTCGCAGACCACATGTAACCACACCAGCCCATGACCTCCATATCCAGCATCTTCACCACCAAGATCATCTGAGACCAAAAAGAACTTCTGCACAAACTGTCAGAAACTGTCTCTGGGAAGCTCATCTTTATGCTCGTATCTTTACTCGAAGTCTATTATGTAGTCCGTCATGGACACCGCACTGTCTTTGGATACCACGTCAGAATAGGAATATGCTTCATAAGCGTGGTCTTTTTCTTCTCTTAAGAATACCACGTCCAGCTTAGCTTGCAAGGTTTCCATACCATTGTCTTTGTTCAGATCGTCTGCGGGTATTTCCAAGGCAGTCTCTCTGGCTCTCCCTTCGAGCCCCAGTGCCACCGTCAGTGCCTGCTTCTTTTTGTCCAAGTCCGTAACAAGTCTCCAAATACTCCCTTCATTTTTCCAGCACTCGTATGGCCTGGCTTCGTCGAACTTCGGCGGTACTCTGTAATTGGTAACCATCCTCTGCATTGCCGAACCGAACAGACACAGTGAGGTCTCACTGACTCTCGCGATAGTACATTATCTGGCACAGGAAGTTACCTCAATAGACATGCTGTCTTGTCAGCATCTTGATATGCCACACCTGTGAAGTGGATGGATTGTCTCGGCAAAGGAGAAGTGCTCACTACCACACATTTAGACAAATATGTGAATAATATTTGAGAGAAATAGGCCTTTGTGTGCATAGAACAAGTCTTCAGCTCATGAAAAATGGGAGCAAAAACAAAAGTGTTGCGTTTATATTTTGGTTCAGTGTAGTTTGTTCCTCACTAACCAGGTACAGCATGCACCCAAAACACTGAGTTAACTAAATTATACCAACGTGAGTTAATGATTAAAAGTAATCTCCAGCGGTTTGTTTAACTGTCTGTGGTTATAAATTCAGGCTTGTCTTGTCTTTCTCTGGCTGAATGTTGGTGTTAGTGGTAGAAGAATTACTTCAACTGTTTTCTTCACTAAACTATTAAAATCACGCAGTAACAATACTGTCAAAGTCCTACACTTTTTTATTCTCAAAAGTGAAGCGTGAAAGAGGTTTTATCAGCACAATGTCCTGACATTTACTTAGTACCTGTTCAAGGAGCAGCTTTTAATTCTGATATAATGCTGGACAGTTTCATGAAACACATTGCATAATGTTTTATTTTTGTGATAAAACCTGTTACTGTCCCCTGTGCTCTGATCGTCCCTTGAACACAACATTATCA